TTTTTTAATGGAAGCCAGAAATTGGAATTTTTATATTAATAATAAACCTCCCAATATTTAAATGTTGGCTTCTAATAAAAACAGGCAGACTGTGTAGCAGTACTCTCAGTGGAACTTTCTATGATGTTTATACTGTTCTGCATCTGCACTGTCCAGTGGCCATGGGCTATTGAGTATTTGCAACTAGTAATTGTGACTAGCGTAACTGAGGAATGGAATTTGTAAGTTTGTATTATTTTAATTTAAATAGCTACATGTGCCTCCTGGGCTCTGAATTGGACAGCATTTATTATTTAAGAGTATGAATTCCAGCCTGTCGGAGTTGAAATCCCTTTCGATCCCAGGTTTCAGCACCAAAAAAAGCCACAAACAAACAAACAAAAAAATCCCAGCTCTACCACTTCCTATGTGATGTTGAGCAAGTTACTTCATTCTCAGTACCTCAGTTTCCACATTTATAAAAGAAGAATAATGGTACCTACCCCTCAGTAGGTTTGAGGGCTGAATTAGGCACTATGTAGGCACTCAAATAGTAGTGAATTTTGGGGAAGGCACTGTTCTGCCTCAGTTTCCTCATCTGTAAAATGGAGTTAATGATAGGACCTATCTTACTGGAGTGGTTATGTGGGTTAAATGGGACAATTCCTATTCAAACTATATGTATACTCACATGGGGCTTGTTACCAGGCCATACTGGTTATTCACAGATTGAAATAACCTGTACAGTTTGGCAGCCTCTCCAGCCGGCATTTAATGCTAGTACCAGTTAAATATTTTAAAAAGACCTTCTCTGGTGGTGTTTATAGTAATTAAAATGTATTTGAAACTGTGTGGGCCAGGTTTAACTTCTGAACCCTAGATTTTTAAAGAAGCACACAGGTGTCTACTAAGAATTAAGATATGTACCCCCCAACCCTAAGTGTACTGTCTATAATGTAGGGAATGGTTTCTTGGTATCCCTAGGACCTCTGCAGGATTGAGGGAGGGGCTGCAGGGTTTTTTTTTTGCAATATCTTTGAGAATTGGAGACTGTCTTAACCAAAAGCAAAGGTGGAGACTGAGGTTTATGTGTTTGGGCAATGTGATCCTGGAGAGTGAGTGGAGGACAGAGGAAGAGCCACCACAAGTGTGTGTTTGCCTACCACATGGGTGACAGTCCCACAGAACCTGAGGAGCTTTTTGAAATGTAGCTCAGATCTGTCTACCCACATGGAACGAAAGAAGGAAGTGTGTTTGCCAATTGGCCCCTGTCTGCCAGTGGTCGGGTAGCCTCTGGGGATTAAGGCTCTGGCACTGGCTGGCACATGCTTCAGTGCCCAGTGGGCCCCCTAGGCCTCTCCCCAATCTTGGTGCTGGCTGAGGTATGGTGCTGTCTGTGAGGCCACACCTGCACAAGGCTGGAGGGCAAGAGGGGAGGGGAGGTGTAGACTTAGGCACAGGTGGCTTCTGAGACTGCTTACGTTACATGGCCTAGGGCAGTGATGGCGAACCTATGACGCGTGTCAGAGGTGACATGCGAACTCATTTTTTTGGTTGATTTCTCTTTGTTAAATGGCATTTAAATATATAAAATAAATATCAAAAATATAAGTCTTCGTTTTACTATGGTTGCAAATATCAAAAAACTGTATGTGACACAGCACCAGAGTTAAGTTAGGGTTTTTCAAAATGCTGATACGCCGAGCTCAAAAGGTTCGCCATCACTGGCCTAGGATGTTTTCCTTAAATGCTCTAGGGCTGCATCATGGCACATCTGAAGGGCAGAATTGGGTTAGTGTTAAGGCATAACCCCAACAGGGTCTGACTTCCCATGTCATACCATTCACAAGCCTATGATCCTGGACAAGGTCTCAGGCTTCTCACTTTCCTCATAAGAGGTTAATAATGCCTCCATCATTCATTCATTCACTGTTTCCTAAGCACCAACTGCCAGGCCTTGTTCCAGAAGCTAGAGCGCATCAGTGAACAAATTAAATTCTGACCTGGTGGAACTGATAATCTCATGGAGAAGATAGATAATGGTTAGATATTTCTTGGGGTAATAAATGGATTAAGAAAAACAGCCCTGGCTGGTGTGGCTCGGTTGGTTGGGTATCGTTACGTGCATGGAAGGGTTGCTGGTTCAATTCCCCATCAGGGCCTGGGTTGCAGGCTCAATCTCTGGTGGTGGTGGTGGGGCATGCAGGAGGCAGCCGATCAATGTTTCACTCTCCCATCAATGTTTCTCTCCCTTCATCTCTAAAAATTAAATGATTCTTTAAAAAAAAGAAAAGAAAAACTATGGTGAGAAGGAATGTTTTGGGGTCTTGGGCTGCTTTTTTACATGGGCTAGAATAGTCAGGGAAGGACTTGGGATAGTGTATTTGAGCTGAGACCAAAATGAGGAAAGCCATGGAGATACCCTGAGTGTGCCAGGCATGGCCACCTTACGGTCTTTGCACTTGCTGTTCTGCCATGAATGTTTCTTCCCCCAGATTAGTGGTTGGCAAACTGTGGCTCACAAGTCACACGCGGCTCTTTGGCCCCTTGAGTGTGGCTCTTCCACAAAATACTGACTTCTGTGCATGGGCCACGAAGTTTCAATCGCACTGTACATGCACGCCCACACATGGTATTTCGTGGAAGAGCCACACTCAAGGGGCCAAAGAGCCACATGTGGCTTGCGAGCCACAGTTTGCCAACTACTGCCCCAGATCCATATGGCTTACTCCCCTCCTTTAGATCTTTGCTCACATGTCACCTCAGCATGACATTCTGTGGGCACTTAAGGAAAAGTCCTGAATAGCCAAAAAGACAGAAGTCCCTTAAAGTACTTCACACAGACATGAGAGGATTCATGTGCAACACTGTCATGCCTGGCACAGACCTCAATAAAGGCTATTTTTACATGTTTAAAATTTTGGAGAGATCAGACCTGGAATCTGTTACCCTCCCAAGTTATTATCCAGGGCAGGAATTTGCCTTCTCTCACTGCTGGTTCTAATGGTTGTCCAAATTCCATTTGATGGGAAGCTCCCTCCACCTACCCCAGTACAGGGCCCAATTTGCTTCCCAGTAATTGGTCCATGAGGCCTGGCACTACACTGGGGCCACAGAACCTGTTTGAGTAGTGGGGATGTGGAAAGGAGGGCCTCAGATGTTAATCTTGACGTATTTTAAAGGCACTGGGGAACCATGGCAGATCCTATGCAGGAGAGTGATGGTGTGTGCTGAGAGACCCCAGAGGTCAGGATGGGATAGAGCAGTGGTTCTCAACCTGTGGGTCGCCACCCCTTTGGGAGTCGAACGACCCTTTCACAGGGATCACCTAAGACCATCGGAAACCACATATATAATTACATACTGTTTTTGTGATTAATCACTATGCTTTATGTTCAGTTTGTAACAATGAAAATATCAGATATTTACGATTCATAACAGTAGCAAAATTACAGTTATGAAGTAGCAATGAAAATAATTTTATGGTTGGGGGTCACCACAACATGAGGAACTGTATTAAAGGGTCGCGGCATGAGGAAGGTTGAGAACCAGTGGGATAGAGGAATTACAGGAAGCTGGGAACTCAGAGGAGGTGCCTGACCTTGGAATGTTAGGGAAGGCCTCCCACAGGAGGTAAACTTTGGTGAGAATATAACAAAGGGAAGGAAAACCTGTGCAGAGGAACCTAGGATGTTTTGTACAATTTGATTATGTCTGTCTACTCAAAACTCAAATCCTCAGGATTAAAAAAAACCTCTGGGTTGAATTATTTCATTCATTAAAATTTATTAAGAACTTATTGTCTGCCTGACTGCTGGGCTATGCTTTACTCACTCTATCTTCATTTTAAAAGAAAAATATATATAAATTGAACCTGTATTTTCTACTACAATTATTAGCCTCTAAGTATTAAAATTTTTATGTTGGGGGAAAAAAGTTTACTCCACCTAAAGGGCTTTGCTCAGCACCTGGCACAGAGTGAGTGGGCTGGAACACCTGCTCCTGGAATCCTAATGGATTTCTGGAGGGCCCTGGGGTCCCTGTCCCCACCCCCCTACCCCCAAACAAACAAAAAAACACACACACCCCATTCATCCTGGAGTGAGGGATAGGGCCTTTGATGTGAAGATGGAATTTCCTGCCCATTTGCTCCTCACACCTTCCGGAGGCCAAACGGGCAACCCAGCTGTAGCCCAAAGGGGGAGGGGCGCAGGGGGCCCGGCAGATGGTGGCATTTACATACAGCTGGGAGTCCCCCCTGAGACCAGGGCTCCTTGCCCTGGTGTCTGCTGCATCCATGATGTGGGTTTGGGAGGATGGCTTTGTCTTGGGGACGGGAAAACACAGCCACAAAGAACCCCGGGTCTTCATCACATCCACATAAGGCTATGCCCATGGACCTCCCACACTCAAGTCTCCGCACGACCTTGTACAGACCCTCTCCCACCCCCTCCACACGGCTGCCTAGAGGCACCTGCACAGATTACAGGTCCCTGTCGACCACACCCCGGTCTAGTATCTCACATACACTCTTACACATGCACAGAGGTGCAGCCACACATTCTCCGTCACACAATCATGAAGTCACATACACCTCCATTCTCTTATGTAGATGCTGGCGCGCGTGCCTGTGCACACACACATTGAATCTTAGAAATATTTACAGCCTCACAAACAGGCTTAACATACAATTTGAGACACACGTGGAGCCACATAAGCTCACCTAGACACTATCACAAAGTCATGGATACCCTCCAGTAGCTCTTGCACACATTCACATTCACGTAATCTTACCATATACAGCCCCCTAAACCTACCCCATCCTTAGCCACACACATACACCCTCACTACATTGCCTGTACCCACCAGACAAACTTACGGTTGTTCCAGCATGCTCCCCTTCCCCTCGACCTCCTCCCTCCGGCCCCCTCGAGCCCCGTAGCGCTTGAAGGGGCGGAGCCGTCTCCTCAAATATAAGGCTCCGGAGCCAGCAGCTGCGGATCCTCAGACTCCAAAAGGCCATGGTCGGCCCGTGGATGCCTCAACTCCTGTCGCGGGCGGTGATCCTGGCGCTCTTTTTCATTCCCCAGGTGAGAGCGGAGTGGAAAGGGATGGATGGGAGGGGGCGAGAACCGGAGGTCTTGGGGGAGGGGTACAGGGCGAACAGGACACCCGGGTACCCGCGGTCCCGTCACCCTGTGCCCCTTAACGCTCCAGGCACGGCCGGCAGGCGTTTTCGAGCTTCAGATTCACTC